ATAAAGTAATAGAGCATTTTCCAAAATTTCACGATTTTTCAACTTTTTTCGATTTTCAGTACGTTATTTTACCTATTCCAGACATTTCAATGTCTTATTGGATGGATTCATGCACACTCTCGATAGGGAAGGTTTAAGAAAAATCCTTGGAGCAGTTTTCGAGATATGGGCGTCCAAAAACGCTCCAAATCAGAAAATACTTGATTTTCAGCATGTCATATTTTGCTACCCTCTCATAGGATTCGTGTGATATGACAGTCGAATCCCCGGGCCACCCAACGATACCTTAATTTCTTTAATCCGTTGATATCGGGTGGAGAAATCATGTTTTTCCCCCAAAGCACCCATTTTTTGCGTTTTCTTCAAAATATCGGAATTTTTTCGACCACTTCCGGTTTAAGGATTCTTGTCGAAATAGCTTTATCAGTTGGAATTGGACAATAACTTCATGTTCCAGAAGTTTCAGAAACGTCGATTCGGCCGTAAAACGAAACTCGGGCTCACAAAATGGGCAGAAAATTCGAAAAATAAAGGGTGATAACTCTGAATGAAAGTTATATTACAACGTGCTTTCAATTTTCGAACAATAAAAGACAACGACGAAATTTCGAAATTGCAAACTCTTGGATTGCTATTGGCTCGGAAAAGACTCAAGGATTCCAAAAATGTGAATTGTTTTAAAATAGGTAAAGAATTGGCGAAACCACGGCCGATTTTTGATTTATTGCTACAAATCTTAACAAAAACAATAAGCTGTCATATGAAAGCTTCACTAGATCTGCTACTGTCCCATTGATCGACAGTGTCATGGATTATATCAAGTACCTTATAAGAAAAAAAAAGAACTAGAAAAAATAATTATCAAAATCGGTCAAAAACTCGCGAATTTACAAGTCTAAATATACTGATAAACATTGCACCCGGGCAAACAAATAATCTGAAAACTAAAGGGAAATAACAGAGACTTTTATTGCAGTAATCGGAATGACATCCCGTTCCAGAAGTTTCAGAAAAATGGATCAATCCGTTTAAAAACGGGACGGGTGAGAAAATAAAATGAAAATGGCGGGAAAGAACTAAAGAAAGGCTGATGACTATGCAAAAATTAAATGAGATAAATTTGAATGGAACTAATATTTTTGGAATCAGATTGACCTCAGCTGTTGGAATATTAAGGTTAAATTTGTAAATTTTGAAAATTAAGGACATAAAAAACTTTATCCGCACGTAAAAGGTCAAAGGCGAAATTCAAAATGTTGAAATTTTCAAATACCAAAAATTCGAACCTGATACCGGCTATCCCGAAACGTATTCATTTGGGAAATCGAAGCCGATTTCTCCAAACTACGGACTATTGTGTTTATTTTCACGTCCGTTAAAGTGGATTTTTCACTGTTTTTCATGTTCAATTCAAAATGGTGACCATCTGTTGATCGAAATTAAAATTCTGCTCTGAACGTTTTTTAGGCATTCCTTCAAGGATTCAGTAACTCCCATGTCTGAAAGTAAAATATCGCCAACGTCTTAGGGTATTTTCACGTTTCAAGATGGTTATTTGTACTCATCAGTAATTTCATAGCTAGAATAAAAATAAATTTTGGAAGCAATCTGGCCTACTTTTTGTCGATTTTTGTCGAAAAATTTGATCCTTATTTTCCCTAAGGAAAGATAACTTGGAAATTTTCTAATGACATCGTTGAAGTTGGATCAACCAGATCTACTTATATTCCTAATTTCATGAAAAGCGTACTAATAGTACAATCGTACATAGTTCCGGGACTGTGAAAAGTACTGTATTTTACGATTTGGAGCCCACTGAGTTGCCTTTATCTCGAAAACGGCTCCTAATAATTTTTTAAAACTTCTTCTATAGGTAGAAATGAAGCCCATGTGGGGGCAAAATGTGTGGTTTGGAGACTCGCCATTAGAAGATTTGTTGTTGTACATATATGATGTGAAGGATAAACTTTGTTGCGAGTTTCTGTAACCATACACTTATCCCATTTGTGCAGCATGGAAAGCGTCTGTAAAGATCCGTGACAATGTCGATGGCAAACTTTTAATAAATTTAACAATGATGTCACAATCTGATTTGCCAAGACGTTTTCCTTTCTCCAAAACATTGCCATGGAGTCCTGCAATGCCCATGGGAAGTTGTTGAATGCTACCGTATCAACAATTAACATAGATGGGCTGATTGAAAAACGACACCGGAAATGTTCTCTGCAGAAGATGAGCTAACCAAATACTAGCAAGATCAGTTGAGACAGAAATGAAAAGCAGCTATCTATCTTTCTATCATCATCAATAATATTGTCGAGTATTGTACAGGAATCAAATTCTGCAAGGAATTTCTCGACGCGGCAGCGATCAATACCATCAAATTTTTGAATGTCAAGAACATATAAGCGCAAACGTGGCTCATCGAACGGATGAATATGGTTATAATCTGGACACTCATGTTTCAGTGGAGTTAAGGTGGACCACTTTCTAATGTGACGTGTACATTTGTTGACGATTATTATTCATGGTGCTATGTAAAGGTAGTCAATAAAATTGTACAAAACGATGAGCCAAGAGAAACCAAAATAGGGAAAATATACTCTTCAAAAAAAGTAGGGGATATTGAAATACAAATACCTATGCAAGTTGCGATATGATAAATAGTCATGGACATTTGACATGCTTTGAGAGTATGTTCACAGATGAAGAACTTATCGCCCCAACAGAACCACTGAGCTGCATGTGCGACACGCAATAGTGCCATACACGTGGGAGGGGTTCATTGTCTTGTTTGACACTTCAAGGAAGGGTTGATGAAAACTGTCGCGTGTTGGTTTATCTATACATGTTTGCTTGCCTATCGGTTCTTGCATACGATTTACTGTCTATCGTATCTTTGCTTTAGTGTGTTACGTTTAATTTGATCGGGAGACGTGTTTGGCTGTGGCACTGCAAGAGGGGTGGGTCAGATTGACCCAAATAGTGATTGGACGGTTGATTAGGAGCATGCCACCATGAATTGCTGAATGTCTGAGGATTGGTGGAGCAATTACTCATTATTAAGACAAAAATCAAAAACGTCCGATTTCATTTTTGCGGTGTATCTCTTTCCGAGTGAAATGGGGCCGTCAGATAAGCCGCCCATATGAACTGTTTATGTTCATGTGTAGGCAATTGACCTGTTATTAACATACACTGTTTACCTCTAATAAAAACAGCAGTGCATTTCCGCAGTTTTGTATTGTTTCTGAATATCCCCTACTTTTTTTTTTGAAGAGTATACATAAAAGTTAATTTGGAACATTGCCAGGGCCGTATACATTGAAACAGGCTGTAGGGACATAAATAGGTGGAAATGTTTGCATTTTTATTGTTTTCCACAGCAACAGCATACAACGTTTTTTCAAAGGACGAGTTAATATTTTGTAGATCTAATTAGGCAGTAGCCGAGTGAACAGACTATATTCACTTTAATAACCAGGGTGAAATTGTCGAGATTGTTAGAGATTATTATAAACCTATAACGGTAAATCTCTTTGATCTTTAGGGTATATTCTGAAAGTCGAGGGCGTCTTTGGATGTATACAGGGGAATTTGGGGTTATTCTTCTGAAAGTTTTTCTCGTAAAGCTGTAACAGGTTGTTCTTCCAAAGTAGGTTTTTGTCCCATAAGAAAACATGATATAAGGTTTTTCTTACGGGAATTCTGGGTTATTCTCATTTTTTGTACATCTAAACATATACGGTTTATAAGCAAGATAAAGTCCTCGACTTCGGTTATGCTGGGTAAGAAAGACTTCAGAAAAAAAAACTCGACAGAAAAACCTCGGCCTACCGGCCTCGGTTTTTCTTTTTCTCGGGTTATCTTCTTCAGTCTTTCTTTCCTCAGCATAACCCCAGTCTCGTGCTCTATCCTATGCATAAAGTATCGTAGAATGTTCTTTAAAGTAGAAAAGGTTTATCCAATAAATACACCAGGTGGCAATTCTTTCCCGCCACAATGACGAAAGTAAACATAGACAAGATTAACCAGACACTTCTTTCAGAAGAATAACCTGTGACTATTTCAGGTAGACAGATCACGTCCTCGATTTAACGTGATCCTACGTGTGTTTTCTCAGAATTAAAATCTTTAACCCCAGTACTTGAGGTATTTGACACTGCTTATCTGCGATGTCAACTACAGTATTGCCAATTTTGATATTGTTACACAAAGAGTAGATAACAGACCAATTCAACCACTTGTTAAATACTATCCTCGATTAGATGGACCGAATTTTAATGTCATTGTGTTTATTGGCATCGGACATCGAACCCACCAATTGAGGAAATATTATGGAGAAAAATAAATTCTTTTAGGAACAAACTATTTTCTTTTCTCATTTCAAAGTAGATTGTATTGTTAATACAAGGACCAGTATGCTCTTATCCACACAGGCTTATAAGTATAAATATTTGGTACCGCCTCATTTCCTAAAAAGCTATGCAAATAAGCGCAGCTTTTATAAAACGTACCAAATTAGAGGACCCAATGTTTAGTTTCTATGTGCTTAGCAGCATCTAGCCACATATACAGTTGGGGTTGGCTGTACTTGTTTCCCTGTGTATATAAAATGCCATAGCTATGATTAAACTACAGATCTGCCGCTATCCTTTGATGTTGGCGTACCATTATTCTATACAAGCTAAATCGCGTGATGATTTCTTGAAGTTAACGTGCCGGATAGCGTCTTTTAATTTGTTTAATTGTCTCGAACAAGGCATTGCGTAATATATTGACCATTAAACCACACATAGTTTTCGAGCTTTCTTTCAACGTGGAACACCCTGCAATCATTATGTATACAAATAGAACTAGACCTTTTACCCCCAAGTCAGCATTAATGTATTGGCACATCTAGGCACACCATTGATGGTTCGGGATAATTATATGGTTAATCATAGAACTAATATTCTAGTTCTATGGGTAATCTGAATTTTAAGAATCAGTACAAAAGGTTCAGTTATTAAGAAAACTTTTATTTTTTACATTATTTAATGTTTGATGTAAACGTACACAATAGATCAAATATACATCTATGTAATTAAAAAAAAACTACTATACAAATTGAATACTGTACAATAAATTAAAATATGCAAGATTGAAACCTGTCATTTAACTACAGGTTGCTGGGTAACGAAACATACGTCAACAGCATGGGCAAGTCGTCCGGCAGTCTACCAGGCAGAATTTTTCGATTAATGCACATATATTTCATACAGAGCGATCTCAAGATTCTACAATGTGAAACAAAGGCCATAATTCTAGAAATGATTTACTACATTTAATAACGTGTATAAATTCAATACATATTGGATGATACCGTTTGTCGTTTAAACATTCACAAGGTTCTACAAAGTGAAACAAGCGCAATTAATTAACGGAAACTGTTGAAATAAAATAAGCTTGTTTTGTTTACTAATATAAATGATACATATAAATTTTATACAGATAGAATGATCACTTTTGTCTTTAAAGCGTTCACAAGGTTCTATAAAGTAAAATAATGGCCATAACTCTTGCTGAAATTCAGTAGACTTTTTTGTCTCACCAATACAAACAGGATAATGTAAATATTTAAAGATTGGATTATAAATGTAGTTTATAGAAATGTCTGGCGGGCGAGCGGATCGGCAAGGCGACAATAGACGACCACAATCAACGTGGGCGTATAACAAAACTTAAATTCGAAAACAGACGCCTTGCAGTAATACATATGTACAATTGAGCACCATTCCACATAGTAAAAAATTAGAACACAACACTATGACCAAACAGGGAAGAAAAAAGAAATATATACAAAGCGAGAAATGTTAAATATATATATCAAAGCCGAGGCACTTCGCCACAGACACGCCCGCAGTACATCCATGCGACATATAACTACTTTCATATTACAACCTTCAGCATTCGCACCACTGTTTCCGCACTAACTTGCATCAGTACAACTCCATAGTCTTTTCTCATATAATTAAATTACACAACCAATACAACAGTACAAAAGCTATGCCAATCTAAGCTCACCCCAATCAAACAGTTTAGTTAACGTATTTATCAAACAAGATCTCATGTAGATACAACAAAGTATATATATGAGGGTCGGCTGAAAAGTTCTAAGCCTTAAAAGGATAGATCAGTTGGGTTGAAATAAACTTTTGCCACGAACAAACAAGTACAATCATTGAATGAATCAAGGACATAAGAACTCCAACTGTAGTGTTATTATTGTTTTCGTACCAGACACGTTTGTGAACCTGCTCATTGACATCACCAGAAATGGACAAAACTGGCTATAGGGAAGTCATCAAGTACCTGCAACTGAAAGGACTAACCCCAACACAGATACGTGCCGACATGGTTTCCACTTTAGGGGGAGATGCCCCTTCCTTTTCCACAGTGGGCTGTGGAATTTAAACGTGGCAAAAAGAGCATTGGCGATGATTCGCGTCATTGAAGGTCATAAACAGCGACCATTCAAGAATACATTACCCCGGTACATGACATGGTGATGGCTGATCGACGATTGACCACTATTGACGCATGGTCAGACTATCAATGGACGATATTATGCTGACCTACTGAGACAGCTGCGTGAAGCTATCAAAGCTAGGCCACGAGGAATGCTCACTAAAGGAACGCTGTTCCACCAAGACAATGTTCCTGTTCATAAATCGGTGATTGCCATGTCAGCGATCCATGATTGTGGCTTACCCGATTTGGCCTCGTCAGACTTCCACCGGTTTTCAAAAAAGAAAAAGGAACTAGCCGGTCGTCATTTTCCTAGTAATAATGACGTCATGTCAGCTGTGGACGACCTTTTTTTTTTTAGGGTGGATGAGAAAAATAAATAGAAACCATCGACTTTGTACAGGTCTTTCACAAACAGGCTTAGAACTTTTCAGCCAGCTCTCGTATTCAATATATATATAAAAAAAAACTATTTAGTCAGGCAGTTTAGGATCAGATTTAAGATGAATGTGGACGTTCCAGACCAAATCGCCAAATTTTAATCTTGATAGACACCGCTTCCCAAAAATATATTATGGTGGCTATCTTGAATTTTCAAGATTTCCGCTATGCAAAAACATGTATGTACCTGTAGCTATATCTCAGCTTCTAAATTACTTTAGATAGGGGTGGGGTTATTTTACAAATGTTGATGTTCAACATTTAACACCACCCCTACTTTAGAAGGGTCACAATCTTGGTGTCGAAACCTACATTGTTAGGGTCAAGGAATACAATGAAAAGAAACCATTACCTCCAAATATATATTAAGACGATCATTTTGGGTATTCAAAATTTCCGATATGCAAATGATTATAAGACCCTCCAAAAAAGATCTTGGATGAGTTCGCTTTTTGTGCGGTTCGTACAACAACTTCTTTGGTTATGAACCCTGTCTTTTCAGGAAAAGGTGAAATATATACCACATTTTTGTATGATTCAGATGTTTGAAGATTAAAAGATCTTAGATGAGCTATATTTTGGTGCGCATGATACCGCAACTTCTTGGGTTACGTTCCCTGCATATTTAGAGTTCCGCAACCTTCCTTTCCGGAGGTACCCGCTTTTGCGAAAACCTTGTGAATGCGAAACATATTCGATGGAAAGCATTGGGACTATGAGATAATTAGCCATATCGATTTTCTCTGTCAGCCTATCTTGCATGGCAACGGCTTGTTTGGTTATTTTCTGGAAGTTTTTATTCCACTTCTAGCAAGCTTTCAGTTTGGTCACGATTTCCGAAAATTCAGCCTGACATCGTAGAACTGAAAAAGGGGATGGGAGGGGATAAATTGAACTTGTCAAGTCCGTCCAGAGGGCGGGAAATCATTTTTCCCACAGTCAACTTTTAGAAAATATTTCCGGACCTAAGCGGTGAAATACCGCCCACCCCCTCTACAAACTCCCATTTCCGGAAACCTTGCTTCGTCAATCAAACCGTAACATAGACCCTGTTTAGACCCTAAGATTGTAATTCTAAGTGGTTTAGAAACTGGGATATTCGTAAAAATAGGTTTTTACATATATGGTTACATATATGATTGTATTCCCTGACGCTGAAAATGTATGTTTAAACATCAAGCTGAGATATTGGTAGATCAAGGACATAGCTAGCATCTGGAGAAAATTGGGCGCTTTTGTTCGGAATGTCCACATCAACTTGTTACAAAACAATAATAATAAAAAAAATAACAATCATATGAGCTGCAAACATAATTAAATAGACAAATATTGAGTAATCGGAAATGTGTGTATGTCTAATATTCAGAATGCGACTGTATCAACGACCAAAACATCGCTGAAACATGGGTGCCGGTTTATTATAAATAATGTAGTTTTTATATCTATGTAGTCATTAGCCGAAAAATTCTTCGAGGAACTGTGATTGATTCTGATGAGGTCCGGGACGTATTGTTATTAATGCGTTGGTTCAGTACATTATATCTGAAAATGTAATTCATAGATGGTATTAGTGGAAGCTATAAATCGACTTCGAAACATCCGTACGTGTAACACATGACTGTGGTCGCTCTTTCTTGCCTTCCCGTCCTGATCTCGTCCCTTCTTACCTTCGATTCGCTACGAGTAACAGGGCGAAGAAGAAGGCAAGAAATAATCAGTGCGAGTCACTTCGCGCTGTTAACTCATAGCGAAGTGAAACCTCGACGGAGTGAGATTTCTTGCTTTCTTGGCTATGATTCTATAACCAGAAAGCGAAGGCAATACAACTCAGACCAAGACCAGTCAAGCCAATTAATAGACCACTTGGACTAGTGGATAGACCATTCGGGTCAATATTTTACTAATTTGCTTCATAATTAAAATAAAAGGCTTCCATGCATAACCAATGTGTTTATTATAATCAACTTATAATCAAATTCGCCCGTCATCAATACCTGTTCTTCGACCAAGATTCCCAATTACAGCCCTGATGCTGTAATGATTGAAAAAAGAAGTTTTCGTAGCAATTATTGTTATCAATGATATCCGCGAAATGACTACTTTGATAGGGAAATATCTAATGCATCGAGATCCACCTTTTAACAGACATTCTGTCTCCACATCAAATCTCTCAATACGACACCCCTGACAGCTATTGGTAGGAAGTATTTCTATCGGTATTAACATGGCGTTATAATGTTGTATTTCACTATTATTCACATTAAACGGCCGAAATACAGACATCGTTATATTTATATACACCGAGAAAATATATTACCTTTTCTACTTCGAAATGTCACAGCCCACTTTGTAAATGTTGCCAACATGTGATTATTGATATTAAATTTACCTTTTCTAATATTAATTAAACATTTAAAATTAATAGTAATGTGAACTGTAGCACTAACATTTATTTATTGTTCTTGTATGTAACCAGTGCGGTAAATATTATATAGGTAAATTTGACACAGAATTACGTGTCCGAATCCGTGTGCCCGGGAACAGTATACAAATCAATCCTGTTTTGAAAGTTTCCAGGTGTATAGATAAACAAAGTGAAGACTGGGATACTGACTGGCTATCTGGTTCTCAATCTAGAATTATTGCAATTAGATCTGCGGCACAGCTATGCCTGGTTTTAATAACGCTCTTTATCATTTAAACTATGATCCGCCCCGTGCAAATGTCACTATCCACAGGAATTCAAAAATATCAGTTGCATTTATACATTTGTAGGGTGCCCCACACAGCCACAATTTGCTCTGTTAAAACACATCTATTCACTATTGAAGCCGTACAAAACCTATTATTAACGATTCTGAATAACAATAATGGCTTCCGATGTTAATCGAGAAAATTCCTCGGGCTTTCTGGCGCGGTTCCCCCTTGTCAATTATGCAGGAAGGAGGGCCTAAAAGGGACAGTGTCTAGTCCTTCAGATAGGTCTAAAAAAACCTAGGTCCCGATTACACATTGGCGTGCACGTAAATACACCCGTGTCCGGTTAAAATCTTCCCCGTCATAGCACACTGTATGGAGTATTTCCGTCTTCATTAGACCAGTAAAGTATACTACCGTATTATGGTTTGGCTGGTATCACAACAAATGTGAGCCGCCATTTTAAATATCACGCGATGCTGGTGCTCCTCAATAAAATTGGTTAAATGCAATCTCGTTAAGCTAAACGATAAACAATACGCTAGTTTGTTTCCCCATTTCTTGTTTACCGAGAAAAAAAAAATGTTTATGTTTTGGCTCAATGCTGATGACTTTTTAACCTGGGACAAAAAAGATGCTATCGAAAAATATTCATAAATAAAAAGGGTTTTGTAAAAATTTAGATTTAAATAAATTAGCACCTAATATCTGCAATAATATGTCGAAAATAAAAAAAATCTAAATGGCGTAGGTATTTGCCTCGTCCCTAACTATGCCAAAATGTATCTTGCGACGGTTATTGTTACAATTATGGCAATATTTTGCTTGTAAAATCCGTTATCATTTGATTTTCATAAAAGTGACACGATTTGATAATTAAAGCATGGCGTACACTGATCCGGCGATCTTTTCGGTAACTGACGGCAACTGGTTGGTTGCTGAATTCAACGCATGTACATCGACATCGGTAAAACAGAAAAACAAGTTTTGAGCTTTCAGAAAATATCAATTTTGCCCGGCCGCATAGTCTTTTTACTATAAACCTTCTAATTTTCCGTATTTCGATCCGATTTAAGGAAATTAATTTAGGCTTTGCACGACGTTAACGGTAATTAAAACCTTAGAGAAAGACCCCATAATAGAAAGTCTCATAATAAATAATAATAAATGTCCATAGTTTTCTTTCAGCTAATTTGCTAGAGACTATTGTTCACTGTTTTAGCTTAAGAAGAATTAAGCTGATAATTTTCAAAACTATCGACAGGCCAATATATGTAGCCTCTTTAAGAAAACGGATGTACTTTCTTTTTATTATAATTAAAGATGTATTATTTAAGATGTATTTTGTTTGGTCTGATAAGTGATATGTAATATAAATTATAAATCAGGCATTCATTCTCATAAAATAAAACCAAGTACGAACAAACCAAACCATTAGACAAAATTCGAAGTCCTAAAAAAACGGTATAGGCAAAATAGTGTAAACAGCAAATGGACTGTTCAGTATGTACAAAAAACATGATGAACAGTGGTAACAGGTGTCCGGAAGAGTAAGCTTACCCTGCCTGGCACTACACCCACCATAGATGCATCCAAACCCTTAGACAAAATCTCGGTAAAATAACATAATTAGCCAATGGAATTTCCGTATGCAAAATGCACATGATGAACAGTGGTAAAAGATGTCGTAACTACAATCAGGGAAATAGTATACGCGTCAATTAAATATATCTAGAATAATAGCCGAAAGAGACATGTTATATTTGCTAATCAAGTCAATATGACGGCCATAACACTTTCGAAGTTTTTTTAAGTTTAGTGGGCAAGTATCCCTGTAGTTGAATCTTAGATGACAAATGGCTCGGTCTACTTAAAAAATCAGAATAAAAGGAACAAGCTCTCGCGTATCGAACTAACAGAGACACATACACTCAATATGCTGGCGATAGTGGAATGTTACTACCAATAAATAGAAAGTTGACAATCGGAAAGTCAAAGTCATCACGTTTATCGTACAATTTAACACTCAGTTTTATGGCAATTGTCAAGATCGAGACGCAGATCCAAGTAGGAAGTATAATTGTCACTGTCAGAGGCGTTTTCAATTTCGAGCTCTCCTCAGGATATATGAATTCTACATAATCACTAAATTTAGGATTATTCAGTGATAGAATATCATAGATATATCGATAAGGCTCTTTGCACAGTAAACAGATTTCAACATAAGCATTGCACACCGTTATAAAACGGAAGCAGAATCAACCAAATCCAGCAATATCAATTCCATATATACATTTGTCAAAATAGTGATCCTGACAAATTTGGTTACTGGGTCATTCCATGTCAAGTGGGACAAATTTCGGAAAGTTGGAAACATGACCCCCTCCCAAAAATTTATAAAAAATATATGTTATAGTACATGGACTTAAGCTAACAAATCCAAAACTATACCTCTCTAGGCCGAAAATTCGCTGAGATATGATCATTTGAAATTAGGGTTCTGAAACGGATCATAAATTCAGTATTTTTTTCAGGTTGTCGGGTGCTTTAAACGCACATTTCTAATAGGAGTAGAACTCTCTAACTTTGTAATCTAAGACAACCTTTGGTGTAGATTATGAATTTAGCATCACACTCATTGCCCAATGCGCAAAATTTGGAACAAATGAACTATTCACTATTTTTCAGGATTTCCACAACCACTGGCAAAGTCATTATTGCACACACAACCTCCAAAATTGGCATAGTTAATATCTGTTTGTCTTTTATCAATTTACAAAAGATTCTGAGTCGATGGAATATATACTTTTACAAATATACAGTCTCGAAATTCAGTGCACACTGAAAACGTACAAAATATACCCATTTTCAGCTTCAATTTTTGCCATGTGGGACAGAGATTAAAATTCTGAAAATGTTTGATAATAAATTTTCAATTACCCTACTACATGTACACATTAAAGTCCATCTTGTGTATTTGATGGCTTATTTTTTTAATCTGTGCCGTGATAGCTGTTATCAAAATTGTTGACTTTTCATATTGATTTTAAAATAATGTCTAAATGACCTATACTCTTCAAACGTGTCTATTTAGAGTGGCTTTTTGCATAGACTGCAAATATGTAATCATTTTGGATGTACATTGTACTGTTTTAATTTTATTTTGCCTCCATAATGAGAACCAAATGGTTAATACCTTCACGAATTGGAATAATGGGTTTTCACGATCAGATTAAAATTATTTCCGAAAGACTTAGACCCCTCATATGTGTCATTTTAGATCAACTCGTCACATAGAATCAGAATAAAGACTCTTTTGGGATCCAGGGAGTATCGTTTCGATTTAGTTTTGCTTTAAAAAACGGTGAAAACTTGTTTTGTCTGCTTAGTTTCTATATCACTAGACGCCTCAAAACTACAGGCCGCAATTCTTAACGCACCGTCTTGAAACTATAAGTACTAATGTTCCCTTATATCCTACTGATGTTCCCTATTGTTTATGGTGCGTGCTCGACCCCCAGGGGCAGAGAGCCACGCTCAGCTTTTGTATGTGTCAGTTTGTCGCCTACAAGCCACAATTCTTAATGGATTGTTTTGAAGTTGTGCATAATTATTCCTTATACCCTAAGAATGATCGCTATTGGGTTTTTTTGTGCATGACCAACACCTAGGGGCAGAGCCACGCCTATTTTTTCTTTGTGTATCTGGGTGTTTTGATCATCTTGAAAACTTTTCGTACTTATTCCTTATTTTCCTGCGTTGTAGATGATTCATTTTTCAAAGCCCCGTACACGGATTTTAAGGGTATATTCAATGCGTAAGCAATCTCTTTATTGGAGCTTGTA